TTGACAGAAGTTACAATACAACAAATATAAAATTGAGGCATTTGAATCAAAAATTATAGGGTGCCCGTTTTTCGTGCCGGTGAGTGTAGCTGACTATTATCAAGGTTTTGGTATATTACCCTTGATTAATTTATGTAAACACAATTATGTGGTATATTACGTGACATAGTTGAAAGTTACAAAGTTAAAATCATTTTTAAGTATTTTCTTTTAACGATTTTGTAAAAAAAATTGCGAATTTGTCCAGATAAACAGTTTTCGAGATATTGCCAGACGCCGCCCTTAAGAAGCAAAGCTGCCAGTATGGCTCAAAGGATAAAAAAAAAACTAGAAATTAATTTTATTCAGGTATTTCCGATTTCATTTCATTTTTGTAATTTAATGATTCATAAACAATATCGATTTCGTCTTTAATCTGTGAAGATTCATTAGCATTATTTTCATGTTTTTCTTTGATATGACGACTGAAAATGCCTTTACCCTGAAATGTTTGCTTACATAAATCGCATTCAAAAAATACATTATTTATAGAATGAGTAAATGTATGGCATTTCAGGGTAAATAATCGCGAACAAATATTACAAGTAAATGGTTTTTCTAAGCGATTTAGAATGATATGTTTATGAAAAATTTCTTTAGTTTTGAATTTTATAGAACAGTTTTCACATTTAAAACAATTTTCACATTTGTATTGCACGTTTGGCGTTTCGATAATACTAATGGTGTTTTGTTCATGCCATTGCTTATGGCGATGTAGTCCCTGTTTTGACAATAATTTTTTGAAACAAAGTTCACATTCAAACAAATCCCTGACAGTGTGAACTTTTTTGTGAAATAACAGAATTTTTTTGCTAGTAAATTTTTTAGGGCAAAGATTACATTCAAATAAATCTCTGCCAGTGTGAAGTTTTATGTGACATAAAAGAGTTTGCTTGCTAGTTAACTGTTTGAGACAAATTTCACATTGAAATTGTTTCGGATCTGTGTGAATTATCAGGTGTCTTTGAAAGTTGTGTTTGTAATTGAACTTCCTTGAACAGATATCACATTCAAATATTCGTTGACAAGTCCCATTAGTTAGATGATTCTCGAAATTACATTTTCTAATAAATACCTTAGAACATAATTTACATCTAAAATCACCATACGTCGAAAGCTTATTTTTTTTTGAATTTCTTAAAAGACTGCATTTATTATTTTTCATGTCTATTTCAGAGGGAAACTTTTGTTCTAAGATTTTAACAGTTTTTACTTTTTGTTTACTTTTTGTCCAATGTTTAAAATAATGGGTCAAAAATTCGGTTTTCTGTACAAAAAGATGTCCGCATAGGCTACAGATGACGTAGGTTTTAAAATGTAGATTAAAGTGATTAAGTTTCAGAAAGCCTGTAAAAAATAAAATTGTTTTACCGTAAGTAAGTAAGAATAATTGAGGATATTCCATTTAAAATTACCACAATTTTCAAAAAGAAGATGCAGGTTATTTCTCAAGAACAAAATAATGTAAGTTAATATTCGAATATTTATAGCAGAAAGTTGAAGAAAAGGAAACCGTACACACCACTATACAGGGTTAACGCCCCGGTCTGTAGAACTAAACTATCAGAAAAAGCAACAATTTAAAAATAATTTCAATTATACGGGATTCTCCAAGAAAGTGACACATCTAAATTAGGTTTGTTTAAATGGGACACCCTGTATTTTATTTTATATTTGAATTGTTTTCGCTTTTTCCATTATAATAGTACCATAAAGTGGACTCACTTTACACCAGCGAGGTAACTTTACACAATGATGTACCATTTCTAAAAACTTACGATAAAATATATAATTGACAAAGTATTACGTTCTTTACCACACAGGCGGGAAATAAACACTAAAGAAAGCGTCCCTACGTTAGCGCAATTTCAAATTAGAGCTTGAAGTGATACTTAATTGTATTCAAATATATTTCAGTGTTTCGCTATTTGTGACAGCAGGTAAGTTCTAAGGGCCATAGGGCTTGTTGGGTAATTATTATTATTATAGTTTGCGGTTTTGTAGTAGTGTTAACATGGTGCATGCATAATAACATGTTTGTGAAGTTTCCAATTAAAAAAAGCAAATTAGAAAAATTAAGGCGTTTTATAATGTTGTGGGTAACTTTACACAGGGTCATGAAATATGATTACCTAATTTTATTTCTGTTAGAATAGATTTGAAATATAATTCAAAACAAATCTGTACAGGGTGAGTAAAAACTAAAATAGACCATTTTCTTATTTTTTTAAATGTACTTTATTTCACCATTTAAAAGTAACTTAATTAAAGTTTTATTTGAGTTAAACATTCCCTATACCTAACGTTAATAATTTTGGGAGATTTTTAAATTTAAATAAAAAAAAAGATAATTCACAAAATACTTTAATTTTAACTAGTAATTGGATACTAGAAAATATATTATTAATTGGTAATTAGAGTTTAACCAGCTAAAATTTATTATCGACCGAACTAGTTTTTGACAATACCTAATACGACTTTTATATTCAGTAAAAAAAAAATAGCAACCGAAAACTTCACATAATACTTTATTCTAAGTTTATTAAGTGTTATTTTGGCAGATTTTATTTAATTATAAGTCTCCAATAGTATTTATATAAAGGTGGTTTTCAAATGTCCAACTCATATTTTTAAGTATTTCCGGAGTAACATTCGAAATACTCCTCTCATATACACGACTAAAGATTATACTAAAAAACTGGTTAGACTTTTTAAAAACAAATATTGCAACACTAATGCCAATAGTCATAACGAACTGTCAGTTTTGGGGCTTCAAAGTCAACTTAAAAACATGGTAAACTTAGAATAAAGTAGGTATTATACTGGAGTGAGTTTATGATTGGTTGCTATTGCTATTTATTTTTAATTGAATGCTAAAATCTTATTAGAAATTTTTAAAAACTCATTCAGTCTATAATAAATTACAGCTGGTCAAATTCTAATTACTAATTAACAAACGCCTTTTTTCTGTTAACTAAAGGCCAGTTGAAATTAAAGTATTTTGTAAATTATCTTTTTGTCATTTAAATATAAAAATCTTCCAAAATTATTGACTTTAGATATAGCGAATGCTTAACTCAACACTTTAATTAAGGTACTTTTAAATGGTGATATGATGATCAATTTAAAATAAATCAGAAAATGATATATTTGAGTTTTGACCCTGTACAGGTTTCGAATTGAAAAAAAGTGCATCGACATAAAATGTTGACTATTAAATAAAAACCCTACAGGAAATAAAAAATCATTTTCAATTGTTTATTTTGCTGAATACAGGTCATTTAAATAAATACGATTTACATATAAAAAACTGGTTATAGCGTGTGAAATACTCTGTATAATCTTATACCATTCGATATTGTTATAATGGGAAAAGCGAGGGCAATTCAAATATAAAATAAAATATTGGGTGTCAAATTTAAAACAAACCTAACTTTGATATATATCACATTCTTGGATAACCCAGTATAAAAGAAAATATTTTTAAATTGTTTCCTTTCCTGATAATACATCTCGCTGTGAAAACAGATTCTAAAAAATCAAATAGTGTCTGCTTTACAGGCCGAGGTATTACCGGTGGCCCACCCTGTATAGTGTTTTAATCTTAACAAGCAAAGTTGCCAATATGGCTCAAACGATAAAAAATAGTATATTGTGCAACAAATGAAGAAAGTAACTAATTCCACGCGATGTGTAAAACTTGTGGCACGATGTGTAAAACTTGTGGCACGATGTGCAAAACTTGTGGCACGATGTGTAAAACTTGCGGCACGATGTGTGAAACTTGTGGCACGAGTGTGGAGTAGGTTTTCTGTACAAGCGGCACGCTATACTTTTTCTACGACCACAATGACTAAAACCCAAATTTCACATTTTTTAAAATAATTTGATGAACATCATTAACGATTTAAAATTAGAAATATTAAGGAGGTAAATATGTATTATTGTTGTCACTTTTTAAAATTGTAACATATATGCTTTTCTTTAATCCAAATTTAATGTAAATTTTAAAATGTATAATTTATTCACTTATTTTTGTTTGCAATATATACCTATCTTACATTAGGAATTTGTAGGGTATCTACCTAGTTGTGATTTTTTCATTTTAAACATCGATTAAATTAACCATCTTTGCCTGTGTGAAGTTTTGTGTGTAATACAAGTGCATACTTGGTAGTAAACTTTTTAGGACAAAGTTCACATTCAAACAAACCGCTGTGATATTCCATATGGGATAAAAGAGAACTCTTGGTAGTACACTTTTTTAGACAAAGTTCACATTCAAATAAATCTTTGCCTGTGTGAAATTTTGTGTGTAATACAAGAGCATACTTAGTAGTAAACTTTTTAGGACAAAATTCACATTCAAACCAGTCTACGCCAGTGTGACGTTTTATGTGAAAGTTAAGAATGTATTTGCTAGTTAACTTTATGAGACAAATTTCACATTGAAATAATTTCGAATCGGTGTGAATTAGCATGTGTTGTTGAAGGCTATGTTTATAATTGAACTTCTTTGAAAAGATATCACATTCAAATATGCGCTGACAAGCCCCACTAGTTAGATGATTTTCGAAATTATATTTTTTAACGAATACTCTAGGAACATGATTTACATTTAAAATCACCATCCTTCGGAATCTCATCCCTTTTTGATTTTGTTGAAAGGCTACATTTGTTATTTTTATGTCTATTTTAGATGGATATTTTTGCTCTAAGTTTTTACCGTTTTTTACTTTACGTTTAATGATAGCTATTTCTGTCAAATGTTTAAAATAATGAGCCAAAAATTCATCCTTCTAAACAAAAAGATGTCCACATAGGCCACATATGACGTAGGTTTTAAAATGCAGATTGAAGTGTTTGAGTTTCAGAAAACCTGTAAAAATAAAATTGTCGTACCGTAAGTGAGAAGAATTCAGGATATTCCATTTAAAATGACCACAATTTTTAAACAGAAGATGCAGGTTATTTCGCAAGAACAAAATAATGTAAGTTATTATTAGAATATGTATAGCAGAAAATTGAAGAAAAACAAACTGTACACACCAGTATATATGTATGTTTTAATTAATCTTAACAAGAAAAGTTGCCAATATGGCTTAAACGATAAAAAAAGATTATTTTTGGACCTATCAATTAATTCTAACTACAATTTTATTCAGATAATTCTGATTTCATCTCTTTTTTATAATTTAATGAATGATAAACAATATCGATTTCTTCTTTAATCTGTGAATCTTCAATAGCATTATTTTCATGTTTTTCTTTCATATGGCGACTGAAAGTACTTTTACCCTGAAATTTTTGCTTACATAATTCGCATTCAAAAAATACATTATTTATAGAATGAGTAAATGTATGGCATTTCAGGGTAAATAATCGCGAACAAATATTACAAGTAAATGGTTTTTCTAAGCGATTTAGAATGATATGTTTATCAAAAATTTCTTTAGTTTTGAATTTTATAGAACAATTTTCACATTTGTATTCCACAGTTGGCATGTGGAGTTTTATGTGAGATAAAAGAGTTTGCTTGGTAGTACACTTTTTAGGACAAAGATTACATTCAAACAAATCTTTGATATCATGAAGTTTTTCTATATGCGATGAAAGAAGACTGTTGCCAGTAAACTTTTTAGGTCCACATTTAATGAAATAGTGACGTTTTATGTGAGCTAAAAGAAAACCTTTGGTAGGGCACTTTTTTGAACAAAGTCCACATTCAAATACATCTTTGCCTGTGTGAAGTTTTGTATGTAATACAAGTGCATACTTGGTAGTAAACTTTTTAGGGCAAAGTTCACATTCAAACAAACCGCTGTGATGATCCATGTGAGATAAAAGAGAACTCTTGGTAGTACACTTTTTTAAACAAAGTTCACATTCAAATAAATCTTTGCCTGTGTGAAATTTTGTGTGTGATACAAGAGCATACTTAGTAGTAAACTTTTTAGAGCAAAATTCACATTCAAACCAATCTATGCCGGTGTGACGTTTTATGTGAGATTTAAGAATGTATTTACTAGTTAACTTTTTGAAACAAATTTCACATTGAAATAATTTCGAATCGGTGTGAATTAGCATGTGTTGTTGAAGGCTATGTTTGTGAATGAATTTCTTTGAACAGATATAACATTCAAATATGCGTTGACAAGTCCCGTTACTTAGATGATTATCGAAATAATATTTTCTAACAAATATTCTAGAACATAATTTACATTTAAAATCACCATCCTTCGGAATCTTATCCTTTTTTGATTTTGTTAAAAGACTGCATTTGTTATTTGTTATGCCAATTTTAGAGGAAAATTTTTGTTCTAAGTTTTTTACATTTTTTCCTTTACATTTAATGATAACTCTTTTTGTCAAATGTTTAAAATAATGAGTCAAAAATTCGTTTTTCTGAACGAAAAGATGTCCACATAGGCCACATATGACGTAGGTTTTAAAATGTATATTCAAGTGCTTCAATTCCAGGGGACCTGCAAAAAATAAAATTGTTTTACCGTAAATGAGAAAAATTCAGGATATTCCATTTAAAATTACCACAATTTTTAGACAGAAAATGGAGATTATTTCCCAAGGACAAAATAATAATTTGGATTTGCGATTTCATGATAGTAAATTCACATTTTTTAAAAAAATATAAGTTAATGTTAGAATATTTATAGTAGAAAGTTAAAGAGAACAAAACCGTACATAGACCAAAACGTGCCTATGATAGCATGGCATGGTACCCATGCATATTGTCGATATTTCTTAAGCCGGGTCCAGATCAATAAATATTTACGTTGTGCGTTGTATTTGACGCAAATTTGCTCGTGTTCGTCAAAATATTTCTAGCTGCGGACTGTGCGCCGCACAAAGAAACACGAACATATTTGTGTCAAATACAACACACGCTATCCAGGTCTGTCGGTTTTTCTGCCAATTTTAAAGAGATTTGCGTCGAACGACCCTCGAGTGCTTGTTTTAATGTGGACTTGAATATTTTTTGCGTTAATACACTTTTGATGGTCGGATTAAATTAAAATTCTTATGTCAAGAAAATGACAAGCCGTGGACGTTTATTAGTAGATATGAAAATTAACGATAACAAAGAGAATCTATTTACTAACAAATAATCTCATGACAATCCACTAAAACAAAATATTCCGCTAAATGACCTTTCTAATTTATCGCCTACTCCAGAAAACAACACCATCTACCTCAAACAATACAATTGTTAAGTCTACAGTCCAATCTTCTACACCTAAAGAGAGTTCATCCATTATTAACAATATCAATAATGTGGATTTAGCTGTCCCAAGTACTTTGAAGTCTAGTGAACAAAAAAGAATTAATTATTACATTTCCCCGATCCAAAGTGACGAGAGTGACTTTATACGATTCTGATGCTGATCCACACTGTGACAGGTCTTCAAATAAAGCATCTTTAAAAAAAATTTCAGTCAGTGACTTAATGGAAAAAAATGTTTGTTTTTTTGGGACGAGACGGAAGGAAAACGTCTAGATTGGAAGTTGTGCCATCACTTGCATTTAACATTTAGTTGCTGAAAATCCAGAAATAATATTGATATGATATTTTATTCGGACAACTGCTGCGGACAGCAGAAAAGCATATACATACGTTGTTTTTAATACGCGGCCTCTCCCAAAATGAGGGCGATAACGTCCACAGTGTTATAGAAAAGCAAATAAAAAGGCATGTTAATGCAGGCCCGATTTATATACCACAATATTCAACATTTATTGGACCTGCAAAAAAGACTGGTCAGCCTTATAAAGTTCAAAAGATGACACATGAGAAGTTTTTTAATATTAAACGTCTAGAGAATGGGGCTCAAATTTTACACTGGTTAAATTGCATGATATAAAAATGCTACCTGTAGAAGAGGAAAGTCCTGGTGTACTTTTTTATAAAACATCATATGGTGATCTAAATTTTAAAAAGTTATGGTGCAAAGAAAAAGAATCTAGAAGATTTTCCACGGGGTTTGTACCAAGTCTATACAGCTAAAATTCCTTTAACTGAAGCAAAAAAAAATATTTAAGAACTGGTTGAAGAAAACGTAAGTTCGAAACTTTACTACGATTGTTACTATGTATAAGATATATAAGAATATTTTAAATAATGATTGACTTTAAAGAAAACATTTTTACCTAATGAATAATTTCTATATGCAAAGTCTGATTACTATAAGATTGATAAATAATTTATATTAAAGTGCAATTTATCTGAAACATTTTGTAATTATTTTTTCATTTTATAAGTGTCCTAACTTAAAATTTTGTCTATAAAACTGAGCTAAGTCAAAATAGTATTTTTTGTTCATATTGAAAAATCCCCTTACGAATTATTAAGACCATCCCCGGACCCCAAATGTGAAAACAAATATTTGAAGATTTGAATATATTTTTTGTAAAAACTCGATACAATATCTGTATTTTGTGAATTGTGAAAAAGTGTTTTTTTTTTTTTTTTTTTAGTTGGAGCAGGTTTGTTACATTATTATTTGATGAACACATTTCTATATTTATCCGTTTAATATATTTTTTTGTAATACATGTTTTGTTATTTATATTATTATATTTATTAGTTTCATAAAAATCCCGTAACTTAAAAATTAAGGTGTACCATCAAAGGAAGAGGCTATTAATATTTTTTTTAAAAATTATTAATTATATGTAAACTGTGTTGATTTACTATCAATATTTACGTAGTTATTTATTTAAATCGTTGCTCCAATACTTCCTAAACTCATAAGTAATATGTCAAAATGGGTATAAAATTAAGGATGCCTTCATATGCATATTTCCCCTACCAGTATAATAATATAGACGTTTTAGTCAATAAGCAAAGCTGCCAATATGGATCAAAGGAAAACAAAGTATAATTTCTGTAAAAATTTATTCTTATAGCAGGGACAGAAGTTGGAAAGGCTTTTGGTAGGTGGAGAGGGGATAAACGTCAATCCACGTTGAACGACTTCGAGAATTTCGCGGTAATGTTTATCTGCCAGTGGTGTTTTATAGAATAAGTAGTTTTAAATTGTTACCGGCGGAACTGGACAATCGCATGTATTTATGGATTATAAATAATTATTAAACAAGTATTTATAATTCTACAAACTTTCAACCACTATGCAAAATTTATTAAACTATTTACCCGAAATTGTTATTAACATCTATAAAATTTTGTACGCCAATGTTTTGCGTCCATTTCGGTTAGTAGCGCCGCAAAACTGTCAATTTCTGTGCCGAAGTGAGAGAATTGCGAAAAGCCTTTCCAACTTACGTACCTGCTATGCCACAATTTTATTCAGACATTTCCGATTTCATCTTTAACCTGTGACGATTCAACATTATTTTTGTGTTTTTCTTTAATATGAAGACTAAAAGTGCCTTTACCCTGAAATTTTTGCTTACATAATTTGCATTCAAAAAATATATTATTTATAGAATGAGTAAATGTATGGCATTTTAGATTAAATAACCCTGAACAAACTGTACAATTAAATGGTTTTTCTAAACGATTTAATATGAGATGTTTATCATAAATTTCTTTACTTTTGAACACTACAGAACAATTATCACATTTGTATTCCACGGTTGGCATTGGGATAATAGAAATGATTTGTTCATGCGATTTTTTATGGCGCTGAAAACCCGGTTTAGACAAGAATTGTTTGGAACAAAGTTCACATTCAATCACATCTCTGCTAGTGTGAAGTTTTAGATGACATAAAAGAGCTTGTTTGGTATTAAAGTGTTTAGGGCAAAGTTGACATTCAAACAAATCTTTGGTAGTGTGAAGTTGTATGTGATATAAAAGATTTTGCTTGCTAGTTAATAGTTTGAGACAAATTTCACATTGAAATAGTTTCCGATTAGTGTGAATATGACTTCCCATGTGTTTTTGAAGGTTACTTTTGTATTTGAACTTTTTTGAACATATATCACATTCAATTGTTCGTTGACAAGTCCC